GGCGCGTCCTGGGACCTGTCCGCCCTCGTCAGCAACTTCAACACCATGACGCTGATGCCCCCTTCATCGGCCAAGTGGTACGTTGACTCCGGCGCCGGTGCCCATATGGTCAACAACGCTGGTATTCTTTCTACCTTTCACCATCCTTCGTCATCTAGTCCTTCATCTATCATTGTTGGTAACGGAGCTTCGCTTCCCGTTACATCTATTGGATCACACTCATTCTCCACCACACGACGTCCTCTTGTTCTTTCTGATGTTTTAGTGTCACCAAACATTATTAAGAATTTGATTTCCGTACGTCGTTTCACCACTGATAATAATTGTTCCATTGAGTTTGACCCGTTTGGCCTCTCTGTGAAGGACCTTCAGACACGGAGCGTGATCGCCAGGTGCAATAGCATGGGTGACCTCTACCCGTTCTTCCCAGCACCATCCAGCACTCCCACTGCCCTCGCTGCCACCGCGTCATCCACCTCACTCTGGCATCGTCGCCTTGGTCATCTCGAACATGCGGCTCTTTCCAAGCTTATTAGTTCCAATGCTATTTCATGTAATAAGCGCCATATTGATCATGTTTGTCATGCCTGTCAGCTAGGTCGCCATGTGCGCCTACATTTTAGTGTGTCACACTCTCGCGCTGCATATCCTTTCGATTTAATACATTGTGATCTTTGAACTTCTCCAGTTGTTAGTGTGTCGGGCTATAAATATTATTTAGTCATTCTTGATGACTGTGCTCATTACACCTGGACGTTCCCATTACGCCTCAGGTCCGATACTTTCAGTGTCCTTTCTAACTTTTTCTCATATGTGCGCACGTAGTTCGACTCCACCATCAAGGCAGTTCAGTGCGACAACGGCCGCGAGTTTGACCACTCCTCAGCCCGCACGTTCTTCCTCACTCATGGAGTCGTCTTCCGGATGTCGTGCCCATACACCTCTCAGCAGAACAGACGTGCCGAGCGCACCCTTCGCATCGTGAACAACATCGTGCGGTCCCTTCTGTTTCAGGCCAGCCTTCCTCCGGTTTATTGGGTTGACTCACTTCACACTGCCACCTACCTTCTCAATCGTCACCCCACCAAATCCCTAGACGGTCGCACCCCTTTCTTCGCTCTTTACGGCACACAGCCTTCCTACACTCACCTTCGAGTTTTCGATTGTGCCTGCTATCCCAACCTCTCGTCCACAGCTCCACATAAATTATCACCTCGCTCCTCCTTGTGTGTTTTCCTCGGGTACTCATCCGATCACAAAGGATATTGATGTCTCGATCTTCATTCCAATCGGATCATTGTCTCCCATCACGTTGTATTCGACGAGACTTTGTTTTCGTTCTCCGAGATGTCCACCACCCCCCAGGACCCAAACACACTTGCGTTTTTGGATGATGCTGATGATTCCTCTTCGCCTATGTGGCCAAGAGTTGTGCCTGCAGGTACTCGTCTCCCTGGCGGCATGGATGTCGCACCTAGGACCCCTAGCGCCCCCTCAACCGGTGCCTCTCCCTCCGGCGGTGCGGTGCCTGACACGATGTCAGGTGCTACCGTGGCCCCCTCAGGTGGCGCCCCTCCCACCAGTCCGGCTGGTGCTGCTGCCCCTGCGGACTCAGCGTCCCAGGTTGTTGCCAGCAGCGCCGGATGGACCACCGGCCACACCACCACGATGACCCCGGAGGCGATCGTTCCTGTCACTAATGCGCACAACATGCGCACCCGTGGCAAGGACGGTTTTCGGCAACCCGTGGATCGCCTTAATCTCCACACAACGGCTGCGGCTACCACTCCAGTACCTTCGTCCGTCCGTGCCGCTCTTTCGGATCCGGCCTGGCGTCTTGCTATGCAGGCCGAGTTCGACGCCCTGCAGGCAAACGACACCTGGACCTTGGTGCCTCGCCCTCTTGGCATCAACCTTGTCACCGGCAAGTGGGTTTTTCGACACAAGTTCAAGTCCGATGGCTCTCTTGACCGCTACAAAGCCCGGTGGGTGCTTCGCGGTTTCACACAACGTCCAGGCATTGATTATGATGGGATCTTCAGTCCAGTTGTCAAGCCAGCAACATCCGGATGGTACTCACTTTGGCATTGTATCGCTCCTGGCCGATTCACCAGCTTGATGTGAAGAATGCATTTCTTCATGGCACTTTGATTGTGCGCACAGCCGACTGGGTTTGTCGACTCTTCCAAGCCCAATTATGTCTGTCGCTTGAACAAGTCACTCTATGGGTTGAAGCAAGCTCCTCGCGCCTGGCACGGTCGCTTCGCCTCTCACATTACCTCACTCGGGTTTGTTGAGGCTAAGTCCGACACGTCGCTGTTCATCTACTGCAAAGGTGCTGACATGGCTTTTCTTTTACACTATGTTGATGACATTGTTCTCACTGCGTCGTCTCTGAGTCTCCTCCATTGGATTATCGCAGACTTCATGAGAATTCTCCATGATGCGGACATGGGGCCTCTTCACCATTTTTCGGGTGTCGGTGTTCAGTACATATAAAGGTGACAGTTTATTTCTCTCTCAGAGACAGTACATGCTGGACATTCTGGACCGCGCCGGTATGAGTCACTGCAAGCCGAGCAGCACTCCTGTGGACACTCACTCCAAGCTTTCTGCTGATGGTGTTTCAGTCGCTGATCCAAGTCAGTATCGTAGTCTTGCCGGGGCTCTTCAGTACCTCACCTTCACCAGACCAGACATTGCGTATGTTGTTCAGCAGGTCTGCCTGTATATGCATGACCCCCGGGAACCTCATTTCAACGCTCTGAAGCGCATTCTCCGATACCTTCAAGGTACATTAGATCTCGGTCTACACCTCCACCGGACCTCTCCAGCTGATCTCACTGTCTACACCGATGCAGATTGGGTGGGCTGTCCTGACACACGCAAATCCACCTCGGGTTATGCGGTGTTTCACGGGGACAATCTCATCTCCTGGTCGTCCAAGCGTCGACCCTCTGATTGTCTCGGTCCATTGCAGAGGCGGAATATCGAAAGCGATCGCGAATGGAGTCGCCAAGCACGCTGGTTGCACCAACTTCGATAGAGCTTCGCTGCTCACTCCGTCGTGCTACAGTGGTCTACTGCGATAATGTCAGCGCCGTTTACCTCTCCACCAATCCGGTTCAGCATCAGCGAACCAAGCATATTGAGATCGACCTGCACTTCGTTAGAGAACGAGTCACCCTCGGTGAAGTCCGCGTCCTGCACGTTCCCACTTCGTCCCAGTACACCGACATCTTCACCAAAGGTTTGCCGACGTCCGTGTTCACGGAGTTTAGGTCCAGTCTCAATGTTCGCGGTGCTCCCAGTTCAGACTGCGGGGGAGTGTTGGAATGTAATATGGTATGTGGACCTGCCTGCCCCCCCCCCCAATGCCTATATATGTAAACGCTGATCATTCACAGTAATGTATTGAGTATTCCCTAATCCTACTCTTTCAAATAATACAACATTATACTAGTAGCTTCCATAAACCTAACTCCAAGCTATGAACACTCTACTCTTGAAATGGGCTTTCAGAAATAGAAGGAAAAGGTATACACTGATAGAAAGCTTAACAATCAATAACAAATAGGATTGGTTAGTGTCAAACTGTCAATACCTTATCTTGAGGCCAAAAAAGTGGAACCCCTTTCCATAAAAAAATTGATCCTTGTAATATATGCTTCAACTCAGTGAGACACTAGTAATGAACAATACAAACAAATAAAATGCTAGGATGTTTTGAGACCTGGTCATGCCACAATTGATCAGATAAAATCTGCATTTGGTCAGACAGGTAAATCATGGGACATTAACATTAAGTTCTATTTGCAACATCATAAAAGGTGAAAACAAGGTCCATCAACTCACCATGTTACTTCATGAAGTGAGACACAAGACAAATTATTCATCAATCTATTGACTAAAAGGGAGCAGAAGCAACAAATAGTTGTTGATTGTACTACCATGAAACATGATGTATAACAATTTGGGGGTAAATTCACAAAGAAATGAGACTGGAGATACCAATGAATCAGATTAGTTGATATGGAGAAAATGGTGGACCTTGTGCTTCCCAAGCAGATACAACAAAACTCTCACGGTATCTAACTATATGTAAATAAGAACATAATTTGTGGAAGATATCTTGTCAACATGTCACTCCGCCTCACCTATGCTGTGAACTAGTGAAGGAGAGTTGTGATATATAGGCTTAGTGATCCAACGGAAAAAGAACAGCCACCCAATTTTGAAAATATTGTGATCCTTTCTTTAGCCTACCCCAACTTACTTTGGACTAAAAGGCTTGTTGTTGTTGTTGTTTTGATCCTTTCTTTACTATGCTCATAGCAAATATTTGAAAGTGAACAAAGAAATGAATGAGCCAGCACACCTCAATCAAGCACAGGGCCAGCGCGGCGTGAGTAGAGACGGCAATGGGTACATGGAACCTGATACCCGGTGAACTTTATTCTATTAAGACATGGGTCTGGGTCAATTTCCTAATCCATGGGTCTGTTAATGGGCAAAAGGCCTAACCCATCGGGTCTACCAAGTTGGGGTACGTTCCTATAGTACCCATACCCGTAAACCCATGGGTAATATAAACCCAGTCTATCCAGAAAAAGAGCCCATACCTTGCCCCATAATACCCTAAACCTGGTTTATTTTACCATCCCAGAAAGCTAATGTTGTGACCTGCTATCCCAGAAAGTTTATGTTGTGATGACCTGGTAAAGTGGTGTAGGGGGAGAGTTGTGATAGGGTTGGTTATCCAATGGAAAAAAGAAAACCAAACGCTATTATGAAGTGGAACCCAACTTTAGAGTTTTGTCAATTTGTGTGGATATTTGAGCAAGTGAACAAAGAAATGAATGAACCAACACACCTCAATAATACTATCCCTTTCTGTCATTTGACGTTAGGAAAGGCTGCTCTTCCTACGTTTTAGTTAAATATAAAAATCATTAAAGCTGCAAATTTATCTTAGAAGCACAGATCATGGACATAGAGACTCAATGGAAGCTGTGAATTGTTATGCCGTCATAAAGCACCTGAGTACAAGTAATATAACATCTCGTTTCAAGGGGTCAAGATATCAGAAGTATCCAACAGTGTTACAGCTCATTTCTCAAATGAAAAACTAAAAAATGAAACACGTGGAGATTGTTAGACGAGCTAACAGGCCTTTTCTGCCACATCAATACTAAATCATAACACATCCCTCCGTGAATAAACCACAACAGACGACTGAAGGTCTCTGTCAACCTTGAAATGGGAGTGGAAAAATCTCCTCACCTGCCAACCATAACAATTATTGATGAGTTTGAGTACTACTGTTACGAAACAAGAAATCCTATCATTATTGCCGTGTGCTCCCTCTGAATCAAGCATATGGCATATTTTTTTGTCATCTTCTTTCAAAATACTAGGTATGTATTTCTAATGAAATAGTAGGGCAATCAAAAGCATTTTTCTGTTAAGGCATCCAAATATTTGCATTTGTAAGCAATTTAAGATTCAAAATGACAAATCAGAAAATTTCTTATGTTAATCCGGACTCCATATAAAAATTGTAGAGTTGCGCTATGTGGTAAACAATGTCCTAGAGGGCTAGAATACTGCCAAATTCATGGAAATTCCTACACTAGTTAGTAACAGATACTGCTTGGCAAATAATGACGCTGGAAAGCAGTATAATGCGTGTCTATTGAACCCTGAAGTGAAAAAGAAGCCACGTGATATCTAAGGTACAATGGCATATTACCTCAAGAAAGGAATTGTGCAGAAGCAACTGGAGAACATGTCTTTCTTCAGACTCAAATAATACAATGTGACTGAATGTAGATAAATTTCCAAAAACCCCGCCCACAAACTCAGATGGACTTGTAAGGAAACGATCTGACTCATCCAAGGTCCCTTTGTTATCACTGAGTGCAGTAGAAAGTCAGCAGGGACGTATGTATTCAAGAACAAGTATAGATATGAAAGGTTAAATATTTTTGCATTCAAAAGAACAAAGAAAATAACCACCTAGGAGTGCAGTCCAAAAAGCGCATAGGTAGATCGTAATGTAAGGTTGAGTAGTAAGGTGTTGAATGACAAGGCATGAGAAAGAGGACACTCTTCACTCTTCCATCATGGGCTTCTTTTGACAAATAACACATAACATCCTCTGTTCCCCTCTGCCACAATGAGTGTCGAATATGGGATATAAATGGAAATAATGGAGAAGCTGTAATCCCTAGATGCATAGAGCAATACAACAATATTGAAGTATGGAAAACTTACTTGATGGAATAAGGACATATATAAGGCCATGGGAACATTGGTTATGACAAGAAGAATAACAGAAAGTTGCAACCTTGAAAGGCTTCTTTTCCCATGCTGATTTTTGCCCTTGAATTGTGACATGGCAGCTAAGCAGTAACCTGAGAACATCAATGCTAAAGGTAGCACCGGAAGAACAAATCTGCAGTATTCAATCTATTTGTATCACATCATGTGAATAACGAGAAGAGGTTACTTGAATACAAGGGCACTGTACACTTCCAAGAAAAGGTGAATACCTAAATTCTTTGTGTCCAAGTATGCTGTAAACCCCTAATACCCAAGCAATTAGACCTGAAAGTCTCCATTCCCGAGACTTTACAATACCACACATTGCAAATGGTAAGAATGTCCAAATCATGGACGGAAAACCCTGTGTAAAGTACCAGTGGAAGACATGTGTTCCGTAGTAGTCTCCTCCCGAAGAGAAGAGGTTGAATTTCAAAAAATTAAGTGGCACTATGACCCGGGAACCATACATCCACCAATCAAGGAGTGTTGTTACTGCAAGGACAATGGCCCTGCAGAAAGATTAAACAAGTAACTTATATAGAATATTCATACATCGGGAAAGATAAAAAATGGCATCACAACAGAATCAACGGATAAGCAACATATGTTCTCCCAGGAAAGAAACAAAAAACAAAGAATTGAGGGTGGGGGTAGAACTTAACATGGTCAACTTTAAAAAATGTCAGCATTGTGCATATGTCCATTGTGCGAAATCAAGAAACAATAAAGATAAGCCAGTGTAGTGAAATTCACAGATCTTAAACAACAAAAGATAGAAAGTTGCCATGAATTTTAACAATAACGTACCCTACTGGAATGACATCAAGAAAGACAAAACGAAATTTTGATTTCATCTGAATAAAATCCAAAAGACCAACATATATCCATGTTACAGCACTTGTTGGCCGAATCGCACAGGACAAGGCTGCTATCAGAAGAGCCATTTTTCTTGATGAGACACTTTGTTCACAGGCAGCATGCTGCTTTGAAACGACTGAGGTTGCCTTGGAAGACTCTATTGCAGTAAACCAGTAATAGAGTCCAGCTACAGTCAAAACAGTCTCCAAGCTGTTTGATAGAGTCCGCGTGATACAGAAAAACATGAACCAGTTAACCAATTGGGAAAATAACTGCAAACAGTTTGTTAAGGCCGACATCCAAGGTTATTGAAGTTATATACTCATGAAGGAAATCGTATAGATACATAGATGAGTTTAAGGATACTGTCCACTGGGCAACCTGACCATTGAAAATAAGTTTGGAAAATTTATACAAGTATAGATCTCCAAAAGCTGCAAACACAGATTGTAGCAGACGTGGAGCCATCACCTACAGGAAAATAGAGAAACAGCTAAGGAAATGCTCCCCCTCAGAATGTGAGAAGGATGAAGCTGACTAGCTGAGTAGAGAGCTAAGGACGAATGTACTGAGTTATGATACACATGGCATTTGTTGGAGCAAAAGGCCATGGTTCTCATGAGCTTGATGTTCAAATAAAGCTGGCAACTTGGCAGTTTATACTTTATAATTAAGATTAAACTATGTTTTCATATGTTTATTAAGAGGCTGGTATCACAAGGCCAACACAATGGCTCAAACTGAGTTCCAATTCATATGTCAGAATAATTATTGATCCTGAATCTTTCTTACAATAAAAAGGGACAAGCCATTGGTACTGATTAGAGAAGCTCTGTTCCTGGTAGTACTGTCATATAACCTACCACTAGAACATAGAAATCATGATCCATGACAATTCTAGCCCCACGAGCTCGTGACTATTCACCATCCTCCTGGCAATTGAATTGATGCTCTGCTATAGCTGACATAAATTGCTTAGGCTATTACCATAACCCATGGAGTGTCTAGGTGGAGTAGCGCCAGGATCTTGTAGAGAGCAGCAAAGATCAACGGGTGGAGGTAACTTCGCAGGCCCCGCTTCCACTCCCATGTAAGGTGACCATACCTGCACCCACCCGCAAGAGAACAAAAACTTTTAGCAATTGGGCATCAAATTTCCATGAAAAACAATGCTACGCAGCCCCCATTTCGCAGAGAAACCATCTCATTCCCTCGAGCTAAGCAATGGTGAGCAGCAAGCCGATCCAATTCGGGGCGCACTGTAACTAACACCAGCAAAACAGGCAGCGGCGGCAAGGCGAGGGAGAGGTTACCCAAAGGCTACGCGGTGGGCGACCTCAAGGCACTGCCAGTGCTCGTCAGGGTTGAAGTAGGTGCGCACGAGCAGCGCGTTGACCGCGCGGAACGCCAGCGCGAGCGCCAGCACCCTCCGGTCCGAACCCAGCACCGCCCACGGCCGGATCCGTCCCGACTTCTCCGGCGTAGGAGCCGGACCGGCGTCGCCATGCGGCGAGCCGGCAGCGCGAGATCGCCTCCGGTGGCTCATCACCAGGGACCGCCGGCCGGAGGGGAAGCCGCGGAGAAGAAGGAAAGGAAGGGGTGCCGGTGAGGCTCGGGTCCAATCGTTCCCGAAGGAAGACGACCCCGACCGACGGCAGCTCGGGGCTACGTCTATCGGACACGCTCGCGCACATCCTCTCGCAAACAGATCTCTCACTGTACGGCACGATCTAAGTCCTGGCTCTTGCCCGGCTCTAAATATGTGCATGCAGCCCGTGGGCCAAAGGCCCAGCCCAAAGCACGGTTATGGGGCCCGACCCGAGAACGGCACGGCCCGAACCCTAACCGGGCCCGTGCCGGCCCAAAGCCCGTGAAGCAGCCGGGCTTGGCCGAGGCCTCGGCCCGCCCGGCAAGACGACGACCTGACTTTTACAATGGCTTGCGCCAGTGAGAAACAAGAATGGAGGGCTATATAAGCCCCCCATGCCCAAAGCGGACCCCACCTTGGCTATTCCCCCCCTCCGCCTTGCGCGCGCTGCACTGTGCTCGCCCGCCACCCTCGCCTCTGAGCTCTGAAACCCTAACCCTAATCCCACCTCGCCTTGCCTCGCTGCAAGTGGTTGCCGCCGCCCCCCACCGTCGACCACCCTCCTGAGCTCTACCTCACACGACTTGCCGGATGTTGAGATCTCCTCTTCTCGATCTCTCCCCCCCTCCTCGTCTCACTTCTTCCTCCCTCTCTCTCGTAGGATCTTGGGATCTCCTTTTTGTCTCCTCTTCTCCGTCTCGTCTTCGTCTTCTTTTTCATTTCTCCTGTGGGGCTCTCGTCTCCATGAGCAAGTACCTCTAACCCTAACCCTAACCCTAGATCTAGTAGGCAATCACACGAACCCTAATCCATTTCTCGGTGTTTTTGGTTCGCAGGTCGCGGTGTGTAGGTGTAGTGGTGCCGCATGAGACGTTGAGGGACGGTGCTTGGGCAGTGGGTGCCATCTCGCCATGGCCGGCTCTCGAGTCCGTGATGGTGACGATGGTCCAACCATCAACGACGAGCTTAGGGGGCCACTGGGCGATCCCCGATGACGAAGATGACATGGGAGATCTTGCTCATCTCTTGTTTGGTAGGAGTTTGCTCCGACCAACGAGAGACGATCAAACTGGCTATTCTTTCATGCGCCACCAGCCGATCATAAACATCTCGGCCGTCCACCACTAGTAGCGCCGATCCTATGCTGGGCTAACTTTGATGAAATCATAGAGGCGGTGGGACGGTGAGGTACGTGTTGTTGCTATTTGTAAGCTCTGTAAGTCTTGTTTGTCGGTAAATCTGCTAATGGCATTTGGTCATTTGAAAAGACATATGCTCTCATGCAAGAAGAAAAGCAGAGCAGGCTAATTTGGTTCAAACTAGGCTTGCTTTGAATCTGATGGGTCTTATAGGAACCGGGAATATAGGCCTGATGTTGCTAGAGTGAGCTTTTCTTTGTTTGATTGCTAGATTAGATCGCCTTTATCTATTTCTTTCGACAATGATGCTTGGGATGATTACATTCAGCGTGCTCACAATCCTAGATACAAGAGAGTGTCTAGATTCACCACATCTAGAGATCTTTCTAAGCTTTTCAATGAAAAACTGCATCACCTAAAAAATGAAGTAATGCCCGTGTGTCTTACATTTGTTTGACATCGATATCCAGTGCAGCAATGCTAAGGAAGATTATATCTTTGTTGTTGCTCACTACATTACTTACGAGTGGGAACTTAAGAAAGTGTTGTTATTGGCTTTAAACCGATTGAAGTGACTCATAGTGGTATTAACATTGCTGAAAATTATTCTTTGGTGTGCTTGGAGATTGGGGCCTACTTGACAAAGTTTTCTCTGTTAGCCTTGATAATGCATACGCTAATACATACGCTATGCTTACTTTGAGTCCTCGCTGCTTTGGTTACTTGGGTTATGATATTGATCCATTGAATTCTAGTAAAAGATCTATCATGTTGTGCATCGAGATGTGCTTGCCATATAATTAATTTGATTGTTAAATCTGGTTTGAAAAGGCTTAAACCACACATAGAGGTTTTAGGACTGCAATTAACTTTACGAATTCATCTAATCATCGCATTGCATAATTCAAAAAAACTATTGCATTGCTAAGGGTATGAGGCCTCGTAAATTTGCTTTGGATATGGATGTTAGATGGAACTCAACCTACCTTATGCTAAAACATCTCATGCCATATAGATCTGTGTTTTCTGTGTTCATCAATTCTCGATCTGGCTATCCTCTATTGAATAAACAACATTGGTACATTCTTGACAAGGTATTGCGCGAGTTCCTTGAGTTGTTCTATGATTCAATTTGTTGTACTTTCTGTTGTTTATTACCCCACTAGTCCTTTGGTACTTTGCATCATATACTTGAGATTGCATCCCATCTGCATGAATTTGAACATGATAATACTCTTTGCTTTGCTATAGTTGTGCCAATGAAGAATAAATTTCTTAAGTATTGGAAGAATATACCCTTTGTTATACTCTTTTGCATTTATTACGGACCCAAGGGCTAAGTTGAAAGGTCTAGGAAATGTGCTTGACTTGCTTGCTCTAAGTAACAATATGAGTTACATTGATTACTTTGCTGAGGTTAAATCTGAGTTGCATAAACTCTATGACAAGTATGAATCTAAATTTGGTGCTGCTAGGCCAGCTAGAACCACCCATCCATCTGGACTGACAGGTAAGAGAAAGCAGGCATGGGGTAAAATTTTTGGAGGATCAGTTTCTTCTAGTCCTTCAAGTGCATCTGCAGGATCTATTGTGCCTTCTGGTCTCTCTGAGCTCTTTGTTTACCTTTGACGGTGGATGTGTTGTGGCATATGATGATGACTTTGATATCCTCAATTGGTGGCATGAGCATAAACTAACCTATCCAGTTCTCTGTACCTTGGCTAAAGATATTATGACTGTTCCTATATCAACTACTTCTTCGGAGTCTACCTTTAGTCTTACTGGCAGGATTATTGAGGAGCGGCGACAATGATTGGCGCGCAGACAGCGTGGAGATGCTAATCTGTGTCAAAGGCGGGAGCTAGGTGAATCCCGGTGGGCTGACACCGTGGAGGACAAAGAGCTAGAAGAGTACTTCAAAGAGCAAAGTACCTTGATGATGGAGTGGTGGATCATCTCTGCTGGTGATGGTTGATCTTTGAGAGCCGAGAGCCACGAGAGGTCGTGAGTGCGACTTTAGTTGTGAGAGTTGAGACATTTGAGCTAATTTGGTTTGTAATAACTTTGAACAATTTGAACATTTTAATTTATTGAGCTAGCCGTACTCTTTTCCTTTCTAGGGTTTTATCTCACGAGGTGTGAGTTTTACCTAGAAAGGTTTTTAATGAGGCGTCATTGCACAAACAGCTCAAATCTTTTGTCATCTGGTGTTTCTGTGATTATTGAATATGAATATGTGAACCTGTGATTGTTTGAAGTTTGAACCTGTGATTGTATTGTTTGAAATATGGTGTTTACTGTGTAACGGGCTATGGGCTGGCCCAATGGACCAGTGGGCCACGGGCTCAACGGGCTGGCACGGCCCGATATTTGGCCCACGGACCATGCCTGGGCCATCCACCAGGCACGGTGGACTGTTTAGGCATGGCCCGGTGGCCCGGTGGCCAAAAGGGCCCGAGCCCGATCGGGCCGTGCTTGGCCCGAGCTCGGGCCGTGCCGGGCCGTGCTGGCCCATTGCTCATCTTTACCCGGCTCACGACGCAAGCCAAGGTCTGAACGCAAGAAGACAAGCATCGGGCTACCGATGCTCGGGGGCTCCTCGGCGTCGTTTCCTAGACGTGGCCCTGCACGCAGAGTGTTAGAACAGAGCAGCCAGACGACGTCTAAGACTTCTTCGGCTCCAAGACACCGCGATGGTCCACGACGCACCGCTACAAGACCCTCTAGACTCCAATGCACATAGACCATAGACTAGACCCCCAAATCGTCATGTACCTCTAACGCCCACACCGGATATGGACCGAACTGTCTCACGACGTTCTGAACCTAGCTCACATACCGCATTAATGGGCAAACAGCCCAACCCTTGGAACCACCTACAGCTCCAGGTGGCAAAGAGCCGACATCGAGGTGCCAAACCTTCCTGTCGATGTGGACTCTTGGGGAAGACCTATCTCGTTATATAAGGGATAAGGTTTGATCTAGATGGGGATACGATTATTCGATCACCAAACACTTCATTCCATCAGCCTCCCCTCTGCACAGAGAGCCGGGCAACTCAAAGAGGGGCACCGAGAGCCTCTCCTCCACCGCATCCCATCGTCTTTCTCCTCTTCGACGAGGGGGAAGGCTCCACCGGTGGCGAGGCAACCTTAGAATTAGCACCGAGCTAACCCTCATACCAAATTTTCTTCCTTTACACTCTATTGTAACCCCTTGATTTTGGATGCTCTTAATTCTAAGGATCATCAACTGTTGAGCGTAGGGACCGAATTGGCCCGAACTAGAATAAACCGTTGCGTCTCCCCTGCGTGATTCTTGTGTTCCTGAGTCCACCTGAGCCACCGGAGGCCCGTACTCTGACACCGACTCGAACAACATGCTCGCCGCGGTTGTGACCCCGCGACAGCTGGCACGCCAGATAGGGGCAGCGTCAAGTGCGATTCTGGCTCTACAGTGGCTAGAGCCACCCGCCTCATCGCCGGAGCAGGCGACACCGCCCCAGACAGTGGTGTCCGATTCCCCGACGAGCTTTCCATCACGGTCGGCGCCTTCGCTCAACTTTGGGACCCTAGTGTCGGGGACGAATACTAGGGTACCCGAAGAGGAGGATATAATAACCATCAGTGATTGATTCATCCAAGCGGTCAAGGGCATGACTACACCTCTTGCTGGGTTTCGCCTCGTCTAACCACCGAGGATAGGGGCTCCGCCTCGTCCGACCCCCTAGGGTTGGCTCCGCCTCAGTGGACACTAAGGCCACGGGCTCCGCCTCGCCCGACCCTCGAGGGTTGGCTCCACCTCAGTGGACACTAAGGT